TTACTGGGATGTTATTGTGATCCCCTATTGGAAGGGAGATTTATTTCACATGGGACAGCATTCAAAAATCTGTTTCTTTGTGTGCGTAGTTCTTTTACTTGAAAGGATTTGTTAAAAGGCACCCTCATCAACCATCTGGAGTGATACAGTCCCAGTCTACCACTTTATTACTCAGACATGGAGTTACAATTCCCAGCACCCTTAACAAACTACTGATCTTGCAATATATTTGGCACTTATGTAACGGAAGTAGCAGTAAAGACCAAGGAATCTGATACTAAGGTCTAGAAACATAATCAAGTCGAGAAATATAATCAAATGCATTCTTAACCTGGGAGTTAAGTTTCACTGAACTCTCTAGGACTTGTACTCAATCGTAGTTAGGTATGTATATTCAGAAGTCAATCAATCAACCGATATTTCCACTTTCCTTTTCTTTTACTCAGTAGTTTGTAGTGATTATCTCATTTTCACTTCAAAAACACTTGTAGGAGGAAAAGCCTGCCTATTTGTAGTAATGATTCTCTAACTTTGGCTAGCGCTGGAGACAAGATAAAAGTCAAAGATATATCCATTACAGTGGTTACCTCTGGTCACAGACACCTTGGATTACAGACACTTCAGGTTACAAACTCCGCTAACCCAGAAGTAGTACCTAGAGTTGAGAACTTTACCTCGGGCTGAGAACGGAAATCGTGCGGTGGTGGCGTGGGGGCAGCGGGAGGCCCCATTAGCTAAAGTGGTACCTCAGGTTAAGAACAGTTTCAGGTTAAGAACAGACCTCCGGAACGAATTAAGTTATTAACCAGAGGTACCACTGTAGACCACAGTGGCATTATATTGCCGTTAAACACCAGTCTCATCAACGAGGCTAGTCTCATTGATTTATTTATGTGTGTTACTTTGTTAGATCTCAGTTTAACAGCAGTTGCCAAATTAAGTAGCATTGTGCCCAGTACATGCATTCTTGGCGGAAAAGAATCACTGGAACTGCTCCGAATAGTAATTCTTATCTTATGACAATTATCTATAATTGACAACTTAGTATTTCCTTATTTACATTATGGTCAAGGTGCATCAATTAAATATTTAAACAAAGGCTGTTCTATGGCCTCTTTACTTTCCAGTTGCCTGCTTAAGACATGGTGTGTTATGTGTGACTGATTAGATACAATACTTCAAACTTTGACTTGTATAGCAAAAAGAATGAGAAGAGATTACAGATACTTAGCCAAACAACTATTATAGAATACAGGTTAATTTAATATCTGTAATATCTCCAGATTTTGCTGAAGTTAAAAAAACAACAACTGGTTAAAAAGCATTTTCAATGCAAAATAATGCTTTAATATTATTTGGGGTGAAGCCATTTTATTTTGCAAACTCCTCAGAAAACACAATTGGAATCTTCGTGGCTTTTAAATTAAAACATGTTGCTTTTGAGTGATGTGACAATTAATGTTCATTACTGTTTATCCCTGATTAGCTTTTTTAGTACATTTTAGCATGCTTTATTATCTTAATCATATTAGCAGTCTGATCCTATCCTTGGTTATAGAATGTTGAAATTGAGCTGACAGTTTAACGCCATTCAGATTTCCAAATTTGTTTGCTTAATTATGGGGCAAACAGTGGTACATGACTGTGTAGACGGTTCAGGAAGAGGTATGCATAGAATCCTCTGCTAAAATGGAGGGGGGGGGCTTTTGTTTTAACTCTGCCCTGCAAGGTGCTTTGAAGTCCCAACTTCAGGACTTCAGAGCACCTTCAGCCTGATGCCTTTGTGATGTCAGGTGATTAACAGGTGGACAGAACCACCCATGTGTCAAATTTGGCCTATGAGGCTAATTTTGATACGGATTTGGCCCATGCAACAAAAGAGGTTCCCCACCTCTGATGTAGGAAAAGGTTGCTTTAAACCAGAATGTCCACAGGTGGGGTGGAGGCCCTCAAGCATCTCTGTGAAACAGTGCAGCACCACTGAAGGAAGTGACTGATGGCCTTATGTGTACATCAAAGTTCAACAAGCCTTTTCTAACATAGTTGCGTACCCATTGAGTCAATCACCCATCTCCTTCTACCCTCCTGAGAAAAACCCCACCCTCCCACTATATATAAGGGTCTGGTGACTTCTGTTTCAGTGTACCTGAAGAAGTGTGCATGCACATGACAGCTTATACCAAGAACAAACTTAGTTGGTCTCTAAGGTGCTAATGGACATTTTTTAAAAAAAAAATTGTGCATTTCGATAGTTGTGTACCTGTGAGCACAATTAGATAGACGTATTTGCAGAATGATTAAACAGCCATTTATTGGCCTCCTGTTGGCAATCTATTCACGTAAGTTTGCCAGACTGGTGCACCCAGAAAGCCTGCACTTGTAAGTGGTTCGAGAAATGCAGGTGGCACAGTAAAACCATGCATGGCCTTCCACTGGCTACAAATGGGCAAGTGTGACATCTGGCATTGAAGGAATGTGGGTTATATTCAGTAGCACCACATCCTCAGTGCTAGGACCCTTGCAAACCCACAGTTCAGAACACAATAATGTCAATAGAGATCCCACTAGAACAAACACCACATGCAGGAGCCTGTGTATGTGGCAGGAAGTGTAACATCAGACACAAAAAGACCCTCCACAAGCTGTTCCTCAAAACAAAGTCCTGACTTGGGACATGGCTTCCCACAAAGAATCCCAGTAACTGAAGTTTGTTATGGTTGCAGAGACTTGTAGCTCAGGGAAGAGGGTAAATTAGTATCCAGGTTTCTATCTGGGAAGCCATGTACTTTAAAACTATTGTGTGTATGCAGCCCAGTGGGACAGCAAGAGCCCTCATTAGAAAAGTACAGTGGGCAGATGAACAAAGAGAATATCTGTCCATCATTGCACAGGAACTGTTCACCATGTAAAGATGTGATGATGATAACTAAATAGAATTGAAGCCAAAATAGACTAGCTTGCAGGGGTGAAGTATTTATCCTCATCTCTGTAACTGTGAGAGTAATGAAGACTTCCAGAAAGGTTTACTTTAAAATGTGGCATTTTTCCTATATGGAAACAAGCACCATGTGACACCCACCCGTTTCTCTTTTGGTCACAAACACACATACTGAAATATTTAGGCATATTGTGTTTAACACTACAAGAAAATTGCCTGAAGGCTTTTTTTTTCTTAGCATGTTTTTCTTAAAAGTTGTGGGCAGTGTGTCTCATTATCAAGGCCTTGCATATTTTCAATATCCACCCAACTTTGTGGTATTACTATATTTTTTTTCAAGGGCAGAGTGACAAGCACATTGATATAAACAAAATCATTATACTGCAGGGATGATCTTTTATCAGATAGGTTTTCAAGTAGATTTATAAAATGGAGAATACATTTGTCATAGATTAGTTATTCAAAGATAGCACAGTTGTTCTAGCAATGAGTAATAGATTCTTTATGTTTAAGACTTGGGAAATTTAAACATGCTAACAAACTGATGATTTAGTTCTTTCCCGCTGGTTATCACATTCATTGAATGAAGCTGGTGTTTACTGTTAAAGTTTTATGTTCCTTAGGATCTTTCTTTCTCTTTGGAGATTTGTTCCAACCCCCTTCCCCCATTTGAGGTAAGGTGGGTTGCACCCATTTGGTGGATTTCCTTCCCCAGAGCTTGCATGGCACCAAAAATTTTATCCTTTCTGCACCAGATGAAAACATCCCCCCACCGGCTTTTTGGTGGAGTAACTATGTAAAGCACTATCACGAGCATTTTACAAACAGAGAACATAAGCTAAAGCCTCGTTGCATAACATAGGTTATTTTTTTATAAAGAGATTTGAAATGAGGGCTCTGTGAGCAAAGTACTATTCTTTACCACCAGTACAACTGCCATTTATAAAACTGAAAAAATTATAGTAGCCACTTTGGACTTTGTTATTGGGAGAAGCAGTGTAGCTAAAACTTAAGTGTTAAGGCTAGAATGAGGGCACTTGCTTTCAAATCTCCCTCCATGATTTGGCCATATACAGTGGTACCTTGCTACGTACTTAATTCATTCTGGAGGTCCGTTCTTAACCTGAAACTGTGCTTAACCTGAAACACCACTTTAGCTAATGGGGCCTCCTGCTGTCAATGCGCCGCACGATTTCTGTTCTCATCCTGAAACAAAGTTCTTAACCCGAGGTACTATTTCTGGGTTAGCAGAGTCTGTAACCTGAAGTACCACTGTACATGTCTACTCAGAAGTAAGCACCACTGAGTCCAGTAAGACTCCCAGGGAAGTGTGCTCTGCTACCTCAGTCACCAAGCTCGCTGGGTGGCCTTGAGACAGTCATCTTTTTCAGCCTAACCCACTTCATCCGGAGGGTAAACCATTTCCGTTGTCCTCAGCTGGTTAGAGGAAGGCAATGATTTTCGAAACGTCATAAACTGTAATAAAACACCTCTTATTTAGATAGTCAAGGGCAACTTGACTGGCTCGTCTGCCACCTACGTAGCCACACATGAAATGCAAAAAGAAAGAAAATCAAAACCTTGCGAGGGCCACATTAACTCTGAAGGACACACGTCTGGTCGTGGGAACTCCTAATTCTTGACGTGGAGCGCAGGAATGAGCATTAGGAATTATTCCTGATGCAGGAGGTGTTTTCCCTCGTGTGAGCCCGCCTAATTCAGAGGGTAGCGTCGAAAGACCACAGCTAGCTAGCAACCCGCCACTCAACTCGCAACGCACGCGGCGCTGACGTCCGAGAGCGGCTTTAAGTAGAGGGCGGGCCTGGTCACCGCGGGCCTGGCTCTGATTGGCCGCTTGACGCTTCAGCGATCGGACAGTTTAGCTGACGTAGCCCAGCTAAAGCGCGAACAAACAACAACACGCCAAGGCCGGACGGGGGCAGTACGTCACGCGCCCTCCCCCCACCTGCCGCTTCACTCCAGCCTGACACACGCGTGCGCGTACCGGGTCTGGGTGAGGGGAGGAGAGAGAGAGAGAGAGAAATATACAGCGTAGCGCATGCGCGAAAAGCTGCCTACGAGGAGGGCGGGGCAGCGGCAGCACTGGTAGGCCCAAACCAACAACATGGTGACCCGGGGGCGCTACAGACGCCTCGTCTGAGGGGGTGTCAAGGGGGCCTAGCCTCTCTCAACTACCTCAGGTCGCCATCGGCGCGCTCGCCATGGCCCGGCACAGGAACGTGCGTGGCTATAACTACGACGAAGGTAGAGAGTTGTTGTGTTAAGGGAGAGCTGATCCTCCGCACCCAGCCTCGCGGGGAGGCCCACCCCGCCCCTCGCACGACAGACTAGCCCGGCTCGGCTGGGGAGGGGGCGGAGGGAGGGGAGAGAGTGGTGGTGACGTCACTAGCACGCCCACGACCTGCCCGGCGACGGGGGGTCTCGAGCGAGGCGCTGAGGGGGTCGCGGCGGCGGAGGGAGCCGAGAGGCACAGCGGGAGGGGGGCAAGAAAGAGAAGGCATGGCTAAGCGTGGGGAGGCCGCTTGGTGCGAGGCGGGTCGGGTTTCGTTGGAGAGGAGCTGGGGTCCTTCCCTCTTGTTTTGCCCCACGGCTCACCACACCTGTTGGCATACCTGGTGGGGGCCTGAAACCTGTGGCCCTCACTGTTGACAGAGGCGCAACCATTTTGAAAGGGACGCTGCTGCAGTGTGTGTGGTAGTGGGGATGGCTGATGAGGGTGAAAGGGGTTCAAGAACTGACAAGAAGTAAGGACCCTTCGTGGTTCGATACGCTGGACCTCTGGAGTACTGCAAGCCAAGGATAGGGAACCTGCAGCCCCTCCAGTTGCTGCTGGGCACCAGCTCCCAGCATCCCTAGGAAGCATAGGCTGTGGTAACAGATGGTAGGAGCTGCTGCCTTACAACATCTGGAAGGCCACAGGTTCCACTTCCTCAGTATAAGGAACACACATGATGCACAAGCTGCCTGCTAGCAGGGGCGGTTGATTGGTTGCTGTTGGAAAATCCTGTCAGTTTCAGTGTAGAAAACACATAATCACAATGTTTATAAACAATCTGATTTTACAACTGCTGCTGCAGATGCATCCATGTATTGCACTGGTCCAAGTTTAGGCCCTCAAAAAACTTCTGTTTAAATGTTCCCCAAAAACCTTTTCATAGTGCTTAATCCATTTTATGTGATTACACATAAGTACTGTACTTAAAACAAATGTGAGAATATACGTATTAGTGTAAAGTACTGTAGAGCTGCACACCTATAATGAAAAAAAAAACACTGTATAAAAACTGCAATAATATCAACAAGATAAAATCTGGAAACATGCTATGTGCCATACATCTATGACATACTATATTTTCATATGAGGTCAGAATAGGCATTTCAGTATATATAACTGAATTATAAGGGATTTTATTTGTAATCTATGTATTGCAGAACCTTTTGACTACTACCCTTCTTGAATAGATATGGTTAGGGTTGTGCTGTAAATGATTAAATTTTATTTAGAAATATCTATCTTTAATAATTTAAGATCAGATGGGCAAATCCAACATGATTCCCCTATAGTATAATAATATTCTATATCCTACCTGCACACTCTATTACTCTGGATTAATTACTGCCCTTTTGTTGTCATATGCCTTCATGTTACGTATCTTTCACATATTTCCTTTTCAATTATTATAGAGAAGAATATTTTTAAAGCTTTGACTTTAAAAATTTAGGAATTTGATTTCCCTGTATTTCATCTTTGAGGCCTAAAATAATAATTTAATTACATTATTAGGAAATAAAACCCTCCTAATCTCACAAGTCTGACATTTCTGCACACCTCTATCGTTATCACTGTTCAAGGACACATTCTAGCCAGGCAAAAGTGCACAAGAAGGACACAGAGCATGGCCAATGAGGATATGGCTTCAGGAGAAAACATGGTCTGCGGAAAGTTCTGAGGGTCGGGTAGAATGACCTGGGAGGTGATGCACCTGAGCTATAATGTAGCTTAATGTTTGTTATAAGAATGTGTATAAGAAAACTTTTTAAATTCAGTTGTAAGGAAATTGTCTTTCTTGCTTCTTAGACTTTGAAGAAGATGATCTTTATGGACAGTCTGTAGAGGATGATTTTTGCATTTCACCTTCAACAGGTTAGTTTAATATTTGGCCATTTATGTATGGTGTGCCATCTGACCTACAGGGAATGTATTGGCCTACATCAAAAATTGTGTATAGTTTGGCAAGGAAATGAAAGAAAGAAAGAAAGAAAGAAAGGGAGAGTGGAGGCATAAGTTGCTAAAGTCACTTGTGTAAGATCATTTTTAGAGGCAAGCTTAGAATTCATCTCCAGTACTGCTTAAACAACACTTTGATTCCCTATGGGACAACTGTATACTCCTGCATTGCAGGAGGTTGTACTAGATGATACGGTCCCTTACAACTCTACAATTCTATGATTAACTGAACTAATTTTATATTGCTGTGGCCAAATAACTATGCTAAAAACAAATTGCTGTGAAAGATGGAAGTCCTCTAAAGCCAAACTAGTTGCTCACAACTTGTGTTGATCATAATAGGAAACCGAATTGGCAAGAGTAAGATATACCATAGAAATCTGAAGCATTTACAGAAAAGCATATTATGAATCATTAGAATAACAAATATTTGTTTTGCTGTAAATATTAAAAAATAGCCTGATTTATTAAATGGCACAAAACGTCTTAGGATTTGGGAACTGAACAAAACTGTTGAACTCTTTGTTTATGTTATAGCTGCTCAATTCATTTACTCAAGACGTGATAATCCTACTGCATATGCCGAGACATTAGAAGAAAAATATGATTATGAAACAGAACATAGCAATGATTGTATTCCAAGTCACCAGCTAACAGGTGCTGAAAAAGGTAATTGTAAATATATATTACATTGACTTAATAAACTGAAGTGATTGTGTTGCCACCAGAACATGTGCATGTGACAGTAATGTCATATTCTGAAGTTTGCATAATAGTTATTAGATTTAATGAGTGGAGGCTATTGGGTGGAGAGATGGACTGATGGAGACTTCAAATCACTCCCTTTACCTTCACTTACCCTCTCATCATCTGTTCTCCCTCCACCCGCAGTAAAGAGATGGATGTACAAAGATGGGTGTTATGAGGGCGTGAGGGCTACTGTTAGACCAGCCTCATTTGGGCTGGGAAGCATACTGGGGGATTTGGTGTTGCAAGCTCCTTCTGTAGTCAACACCATGAATACAGTTCCTCAGTTGCTCAGCTATTGACACTCAAGCTACTAATGCCTTTTTCAGAGTTTTGTTGGATAACCTTACATTTCTTTCAGTTTTTTTGGATGTTCCTCTTCAGATCTGCTTACTCTTCACTGTACTTCTGTCATGTAGATTGGAGTAGGTGGACAGGCTTTTAGAAGGGTATTGAATTAAAATAAGTGATTCACAGTTCTTAGAGCTAAAGGCTTGTAATTAGCAGATTTTTATTAGCACCCCACTTCCAGTGCTTGCAGTTGTGGTTAACCATCTGCTAAATCCTGAGGCCTGAGAAGATGTGATTTACCTTAGAAGTTAATTACAGTATCTGTAAATGCTTAAAATGTACTGTTAAGTGACATATCAAATTATGTTGAATTATTTAATGCTGAATATATGCATTTTCCCCTTGGGAGTAAATGCTGTTTGTCTTCTTGATGATACCTATGCTGATAAATATTCAGCCTGTTATGAAGTCCTAAAAGCTGACAACTTCATTATTCTGCTTAGGAAAATAGAATGTCCTATGTCAGTGCTTCCCAACTTGTGTGTTGGACCTGCAAATGGGTTACAAAGCCTGTTCAAACCCAGAATAATTATAGTTGCTTGTTCTTAACAGGTATGAGAATACCTATTTCAACTTTTTGTTTTGTTGGCATGTTATAATGCTGTGTTGACACTTAAAAGGGAACACTGAAAAGGCTCAAGTCTTATATTTTAACACTTGGGTACTGCTCTCTGTAGGCTGGCAACTGATTTGGTGATAGTTCATCACAAAGTGATTGTACAGGGAATTGTTTTGAGTGACAGCTGCAGCTTGCCTCTGATGCACAGATGCTGCCTTCAGAACCTGCTCATCAGAGATGGAGCTGCAACAGTCACTGAAGACAGCTTGTGGCGATCCATCACTAGATCTGCAACCATGGTTACCATAGTTACGTGTTTAGGCAAGGGTGATTTGAAGTTTGCTTGGTTGAAATTTTTCTGCTGAAGAAACAGTTTTGAGTGGGCTTGAAATCCATTTGCAGCTGGTGTCACAAAACTGTGCAAAAAGAACAATTCCTTGAACTATCATTTGCTAGGACCCTCAAAGATAATTTTTCAGAAGTGAGGTAATCTGAATAGTGACTTCCATTTTACCAAAATTACATGGTAATCACTGAGTGTCTTGCACTTGCTGATTAAGGAATGCCTGCATCTTTGTGAGATTTTTCATTAATGACTGCTGTGAGGATGAAATATAGTAATTATTTATCAATAATGATCTGAGGCTATGTCTGGCAACCATCAAACCCAACATTATGCTGTTTGGTAAAATGCAATTTCAGCCTTCCCACTGATACCTTAAAAAATAATGTTATTCATGATAAAGTCAATTTAAAATATTCATACTTAATTGTATCTGACACTCTGTAGCAATACTTTTTAAAGAATTTTTAATAACTTATTAAGAAATAGCCTACAGTCAGATGTTTGGTGTTCTTACATTCTCATAAACAAATCTGTGAATAACTTTGTAAGTACTATAAACATTTCAACAAATTCCACATAAATAGGGGCATTAAGTTACTTTTTGCTTAGATCTCTTAAATAACTGTTATAAAATAGGCAGACACAGTTTAAATGTATGAAACTGACAACAAGTCATAAGGTCCAAAATTGATGTGACAATAAATTTGGATTTGTGGGTCACCATACCAAAAAGGTTGGGGACCACTCCTCTAAAAGGGTAGAGAATGGATATTTGTTCCTGGATAAAGATGGTTGTGATTTGGTTAAGAAAACTAAGAGCACACTTCTTCAAAATTTAGTGCAACTGTGCATATTTACGTATTTAAAGCCATTATATGAGAGTCCCTTGTCCTTTTTTTTAGCTAAGCTTGATTTGTGCCTTGATCACATGAGAGAAGTGCTTGGAAAGTCTGTGCCTGAGAAAGTGATGGTGGAAGCAGTATTGAGCAGTAAATTTGATGTACAACAAGCTTTGGATTCTGTTCTTGCCCAAGACAATAAGCAAAATAAGATAAAGAACGAGGATGCCGTAATTGCAGGGAAGGCAACAAAAGGTATGTTTACGTTTAATTTTTGTGTGATTTACTATGTGGCTCTTTTGCATAAGGGGCAGCCGTATAGGAAGTTTTTTGCTTCTTTTTACTATTTCTGTTTGTTAATAACTTAAATGACTAAGCTACATATATAGAGGCATCCTGCGATGAATGCTTAAGATACTGTTAATCTGTAGTCTTTCAAGGATCTGTAAATATCATTAGCACTATGTATAGGTAAAAGGTAAAGGTACCCCTGCCCATACGGGCCAGTCTTGACAGACTCGGGTTGTGCGCCCATCTCACTCAAGAGGCCGGGGGCCAGCGCTGTCCGGAGACACTTCCGGGTCATGTGGCCAGCGTGACATAACTGCTCTGGCGAGCCAGAGCCGCACACGGAAACGCCGTTTACCTTCCCGCTAGTAAGCGGTCCCTATTTATCTACTTGCACTTTGAGGTGCTCTCGAACTGCTAGGTTGGCAGGCGCTGGGACCGAACAACGGGAGCGCACCCCGCCGCGGGGATTCGAACCGCCGACCTTTCGATCGGCAAGCCCTAGGCGCTGAGGCTTTTACCCACAGCGCCACCTGCGTCCCACTAGCACTATGTATATGTTGCACTAAATAATTTGAACTAAAATTATATCATGTAATGGTTAATTTATAAATTTGATGCAGATTGTGTAATTAGAGAGATAATATTGAAAAACGTGGCATATTCTAGCTTAGTAGTGCTAAGTTTCAACTGCAGAGTTGTCTATTTAGCATAGTTAGTAAACTGAATTCATGAGGCTGTGATTTACACATCTAATACAGTTTTGATAATGTTTGTTAATTAAATGCCTTTCTGTGTTTTTTCTATTTTGCTGTTGGCTTTCCTGCTTTGCCACAAATTGGAACTGTTTTTGCTTTGACCCTGTGTCTCTCTTGGAATTGTTGGCTCTTGTAAGGTAAGGCTTATTTTGCTCAGAAATATTTTCTAGCACTAACAACTTGACTAACTCCATTGAAAATACTTTAGATACCACTAAGTCCTGCTGTAGTCTCAGCAACCCTGTGGTCAATTTTGAATCTTGTAACGCTTCAGCTCCAGGTGACAAAACAGTCTTCAGACCCAAATATGTTAAAGCACCTTCAGTAAAAAAGAAAAAATCTTTTTGTAACTCCTCAGGAGCTCTTCCTATACCATTCAGTGACAATGATAAGTCACTTTATAAACCACTGAACAAGCAGGTATCACTCCCACCAACTGACAGCACCAGCACAAGTTGGAAATCTTGCAATGAAAGTGATGCATGCTTTAGTTCAGAGGCTGAATTGCTGAAGGAAAATTCTTCAGAAAATGTGTCTTGGAACCCATCTGAATTTGAAGGAGTTGACTTGAAGGGCCTGGTCAGGCTTAACGAAACAGGTGATTCAGCAGATGCCCAAGATAGTGCACTAATTTTTCTCCAGAAAAACTACAGTCATGATAGCAAAAGCTGTTTGGATAATCCTCCTGGTTTTATAAATGATTTTGGAAATTTGATGCTGGACAGCAAGAGAAATTACCAGCTCAGTAAAAAGGCTGAACTATTTGGAAATGCCCCTTCATTTTCACACAGTAAGGGCTGCTTCCAAGGGCATATCAGCACCTCTTCAAAAGCGAATAGCTTAACATTTTCAGTGTCTCAAAGCCCATCACTGGCTGATCTCCTACAGGAACACCAAGGAAGTAATTCAAACAAGCCTCAACCCTTATCTGATCTTTGCAACCCATCAGCAGGTTTCACAGACTTGGAATTAGGACTTTCACCATTGTCCCAACTAGCCAACCAACCTCAAATTTCATCTGGAATGACAGAACTGTCAGGATCTTTATCTTCCTTAACATTCTCCAAGTCTTCTCCAGTAAAAGAGCTTGAGAGTTTGTCACTTTCAGATTTAATTGCAAAATCAACTGCGTTGGATAAGCCTCGAACAACAAGCAGCTGTTCTGAGCTTCGTATACCTAAAACAGTGCAACCTACAGTTGTGAATTCAGATATTGATCTAAGTGTTCTTATTAGAAAATCAACATTATCTCCTCAACATGTACATGTACAGTCAGGCACTTCAATTCCAGAAAAAGACGCTTTATTTTCAAAGCAAGGACGACAAATGTTCGTAGCTAAAGGAAGGAAGAAGAACCAAAAGAAAATGAGGTCACATATTTTGGAAGGCACTGTTTCATGGGCAAAGGCCCTCTCTGCAACACCATCAGCCTTTGCTATAACTCTGTGTCTTCATTATCCCCCAAAGAGATGTAAGCGCCAAACAGTTAATCTTCATAAGGCGTTCTTATACAGTAGGCAAATGCAAGAAGTAAAAATTAATGAAACTGGACCCTTATTAGCAATAACACCTTTTGACTTCAAATCGCCATCTCCAGATGACATTGTAAAATTAGGCCAAAAGAAAGCCTTCACTAGATAACAGCACAATGAACTAATGCAGTTTTGATTATTTTCACATTAAAAAAGATATTTTGAACAGGTTGACTTGGACGGCAAAGTAGAATGGATGTCTTAAATGCAAAGACAATTGTCAGTTAATTTTGGTTAACAAACTTTTGTAGTAAAGTTTTTGAATAGATGCACTGAATTCCAGTCCTTTTTTATCCCTTTATTCTATAATTGATAGAGGTAGATCTTAATCTTTAGCGCCTCAACTTTGGAATAATGTGTTAAGGTGCTGAATCTTTTCTAAATAATTAATATTGAAAAAATATTTTTAAGAAAGAATGTGCTAGCTCCTGCTAGAAACAACATATTAATTTATGGTTTCAGGATTACCTTTAACAAAAATTACACTGGGGACCAAATTATTAAATACTTGCTGTGAATGAATTTCCATAAAGTTTTTAATCTCTAATGTGTTTAATATGGCACTGTTACTGTTTGTAGCTGCCTTGTGGCACATTAGAGCTTTGTTTGCTTTGTTTTTAATCTGTCCCTTTCTTTGAAAAATTGATTTGTCAGTGCATGTTTTTGAAATCCCCATGGCAAAAATATTTAATTTACAAATGGCTTACCATCATGTTCAAACTTGGTGAAACCAGAAGTATACATTCAAGAGCACAGCTTGTGAAAAAAATTTAATGGGTAGTTGTCAAATGCATTTTTTTTCTTTCACACAAATTATTTGGCATTACTGTACTTTCCTGTACTCTCTGGCTTTTTCATCACTTCATATTAAATCAGGAGGTCATGTGTGTTAGCTGTCATATAGGTGCATAGCAGGGAACCACAGCCCAGTCTGTCTTCCTAGTTCAAACATATATTGTCCAAATAAGCAGACATATGGCAGCCATGTGCTCACTTTATAAAACTTACTAAGGTACAAGCAAAATATTTTACATGTACCTGTAAAAAGTGTAATGTGTGCAGCGGTCCTTTAAAAGATTCAGGCTAAAACTTCCCAATGTTTTTAATATAGAATGATCAGGATGTTCTCTGTCCAACTGAGGAATAACTTAATTATTAACCAAAACACCTAGTTCTGCAATCTTTTTAACTATATGTTGTAGAATACTATTCTTTTGAGCACCAGTATCTTAAATCTCATTCAAACGGTGATAAGATTATATTTTTTGTCTATTAGCTTTCTGTTTCTGCTGCTTTCCATACTTGTCTTTATTATTATTATCTTCATCAAGGATTATAGGCATTTGTCAAGTTAAGACTTTGTATGTTTTTGATAGTATCAAGTGTTTTGAACAGAACACAATGCATTGCTGTATTTTCAGTGAGCACCCTATCATAACTTTTGTATTTAATTTAACAGGCAGCTATTATTTAGTTCACTGGGTAAAATATATATTTCTTGGAGAGATGTTTTTACATGCTTTAAGAAACAAACAGCCATGTCAGTATGTAAAATAATTTTGATTTTTAACTTGAAAGTATATTTTTATTGTAAGGTACATTCCATTGCCTTTTGGTGCAATTTTATTTTTTTATTTTATTGTTGTGATTTGACACTTATTGTTCAGCTGTCTCATTAAATGCCACTATTTCCAAATGCTTACTGCATCAGATGACAAAAATAGTGTTTTTCCAGTATCTCTTGCTCAGTGGAATTCTTCCTCTGCCATTTTTGCTTAAAGTTTTCTCCCAAGCATTCCATGTACCGTAATTGTATGGGATTCCATAGAAAATGAGGGGAAGAGGCTGTTATGATGTAGGTGGACTAGTGTGGTAGATTGTGGCAGGTGTGGTTTAGGCAGCTTGACTGGAATAATTGTAGTGTAGTCCATCACTCATTTGACCACAACTTGAAGCCATGGACTACCTATTTAGACAGGTTCCGAAATGGTCATTAGTAAATGTGTAAACACTGTATATTTAGATATAATAGTGTAATGATGCTGCAGGTTTTTTAAAAAAGGATGTAGATGTATATAACACAATGGTTTACCAAAGATGAACTTTACGTTGTTTTGTAACTATATTTTTGCTTCCTAGATTTTTTGGAAAGATTTTTTAAGCTTTGAAAATATTTCTGATTGGCACATATTCTTCAGGTAACTTAGGACATGACCCATTCTCTTTTGGATATGGTTGCACCCCTTGGAGGGGCTTGACATGGAGCTGAATAAGTTTATCCTCTCCCTCCTGGCAGGCTGTAAGGCACGTGCAAACTTATTGTTGCACTATGTTTGTTAGATAACAGTGCAAGACTGCTGCATGCCTCTCTCCTTTATAGTGATCCACCTGCCCCTTTTCCCATAACTTGAATCTGCAAGTTCATTTGAGTTCAGAGGGGTGGTAACTTACAAGTACTGTGGAAATGAAGAACATGTGGGTTGCTATATTGGTGGTGTGCATTGACCTCCTTTTTATGATAACAGCCAGCATGCTGTACAATGTGTTCAAACCCGAGCTGGAGCTGAGGCAGCAAATTTTAATCCTGCTCTGAAGCCAGCCTCTGTTTTTGCATGTGTATATATGGTACATTTTTTTATAAATATTGTATATTTTGAAACTGTAAAAAACTATTTGG